TATCCCTAAATAATCAAGAATATCGGGAGATCAGGTCTGAAAAAAGAAGGCTCCAGAGAGATTCTGCAGTTGCTATAAGGAATTAAGAGACTTTCTTAGTCTTTCTTAACAACTGGCCCCAGTTTTCAGTGTACCTAAAGAAAATCCTAACCATCTCCCTATGCAAAAATCTTTGTTCCTTAGATATTTTGAAGTTCATTTTTATCACTGAAGTGATCTGATTATTCCTACCAAAATGGATTCGCAGTGCTCATTGCCTTACCATTAATTTTCTAGGGTTTACTCTACACGAAAATTCTTTTTAAAAAATATGCCAAAGGCTTCCTCAATTCTTTATCCCTAGGGAAGAAGTGGTGATGGATGCTATGCCTATCCACAAATAATTGTGTACCTAGTGAAGTATTATCATCAGTAGTCAAATTTTTGAGTACTTGCTTTATACCAGGCATTATACTAAATGTTTTGAATACATGGTTTCATTTTATCCTTACAATCGCCCTATCTATGAAATACTTCCAGCTTATAGACAAAGTAACAGAGGCTTACAGAGAGTCAGAGCTGTGCTCATAGTTATATAGCTCTTAAGTAAATGAATCAGAATTAGAACCCAAGACATCTGACTTCAAAGTTCATATTTTAACTCTCTACTCCATTTCTTCTCTATGGGCAGGCATTCTAAAGACAATCTAGGAAGTTTAAAAAAAGAAAACTCAGTCTCTGGCCTAAAGTTCTCATACAGCATGTGGAGTGAGCATGCTTAGGAGGGGGGCAATATTGGGACCGTTTATGCCTAATGCCAAAACAATGGAAAGGTAACATAAGCCCCTCACATCTGCCCCTGAGGATTGGAATGGGGAGGGGCCTTCAATTTAACGAGATCAGGTAATCTTTGGAAGTCATTTTTAGCCCCAGACTTGCCTCCTATGGCCATGCTCAACAGAGAGAATGGGGACACATGTAAAGAATCAGGAGACCAATTTGGTAAGAGTGATTGAACTTGAATCTTTTCCTGATTAAGAACTTCTCATCCTATCTCTCAGATGCCAACATTCTTAGTCCTCTCTCCTGGCAAAATAAGTGCTTGTTTTCTAAAATTAATTTCTCCAGTATTAAGTTTAACTAATGAAAGGAGAGTTTGCCAGTTTCACCATTCTCCAGTTGTAGATTATGATCCCTGGAGTATATTTCATGTGACTGTGCTCTCACGTGTGGAACTAGAGTGCTGTTTTATGTAGAGAGACTTAAAGTTCAACCAAAGATGTATCCACTGCAGCAAACAATGATGGGGTGGGGAGCAAGACAGTTGGGAAACCTGGACACAATTTAGAGCTGCCCCTTTATCAACGGCAGCTATGACGAATAGGGTCGATGCCATCAAGGGCCAGAGTGCCTCGTCTCTTCTGAAGGAAGGCGCCTGCATTTCTCTTCTCTCCAAGGCCGTTTAGGGAATCTGGGTCAGCCCTGTCGTTTCAAACCACAGGTTTTCCCATATTAGGACCTCTAAGAAAACAATGTTAATGAATTCTGTTCATCTTTAACACAACTCTATAGGAAGGGGAGGAAAAAAAAAAGATGAAATCTACTTCTTTTGTCTCTGCCTTTTGCTTTGAACAGTTTGTAGCTAGAAAAGTAGCAAAAGAGAAAGAGACATTATCATTGCTGAAGTTCTCTTGCCAACAAAAGCACCCTGTTCTTGGGGTCATGCATAGGGGAGAGAAGGGACTTTTAATGGAGAGATGTCTTTGGACACCCACCGTAGTTTGTCAGTTGCAGATGCTAATGGAACCAGGCTTGGCAACTGGAGGGGAAAATGGAATATGAAAGCAAAATGAAATAGGCCTATGAGGCAAGCATGTCATTTCTAAATGAAGGTTTCATGCAAAGGAGTTGAGTCTTTTCACAGCTGAAAATGGAATCTTTAAATAAGATAAAATAAAAGGATGCTGTGGCTTGTTGCAGGTTCTGTAATGAAATACAGTTTTCCTAATACCGTGTGACCTGCATTTCTCCCTGTTTTATGGGTGCTATTCCTTGACGTACAAACCCGTATTTTCTCAAGTCAGCATTTGATGATGGATGTCAAAATACAGGCCATGTATTATGCATATAGCATTACCGATTTAAGGTGTTTACTTGTCAAGTTGAAGAAATTCAAAAACGTCACAGCCACCGAATCTGCACAGCTGTCACTTGTAGTTTTTCATGCTTTTGAATGAAACTTCTGATGAAAACAGTTTAGTTTTCCCCTTTGCTATTCTGGGGAAGAAAACAGCTAGCATTTAAAATGCATGTTCTTGGTTATGTGGTTGGCTGAAAAATACACATTCCAAAGTTTAGAGAGATGGACATTATACTGTCACTCGACATTGCTTACCCTGTGCACAGCATATCAACACAAAGAATAAAATTAATGGCAGTCAGAGAATGAACAGTAAATAAAACTTTCCTTTTCTTTCTGAAAGTATGGCATTCAATAGTATGAAATTTATACACAGGAGGGCAGAAAATAGGAAGACCCTTTTATATTTTGCTGGCATTTCATGCATAATGCACCTCGAAAACAACAGGCAATTATTGAGCACCTGTCATTTCATTCCTGATAGATGGAGCTTCACACGTACTATAAAGCAGAATCAATCCAAGATTGCCACATTACTGGAGGCTAGGTCAGGGATCTGACCACATGGGTCTATTTGGAATTTCGTCCTTGGAAACTTAGCAAGTGACTTTGTATCTGCAAGTCCTTAATTCACTGATAAGCCCACGTAGCCAATCCCCCAAGGACAAAGAAGGGAAACCAAAGTGAATGTGAACATCTGTCTGCCTGTGTGCTAAGGTCAGGAGCAAATTGGGTCTTGCAGCCAGCACAGTTGATGGTAGCACTTGCCAGGTGCGTCACTTGATAAAATTAATTTTCACCAAATGAATATATGAGGTAAATAAATGTCTCATGTTTGTAGGTCTTGATGCTCATCCTTAAAGAGGCAGCTGTTCAGCCGTGAAGTTGTGGTTGGGCCAAACTCATTCTAATATGTGCTTGGGATTTGGGTCTGAGAAGCTCAAACAGCAAAGATCAGAAACCAAGTAGGCTACTTTCCAATTGCCTGTGCCCGCGTTTGCTGTATGAGGTCCGTGTTTGGCATGCTGGGGAGTTCCGGGACCCGCGACAAGCCGGGGGCATCTGCAGTAGTCAGGAGGACTTCTTTTTCAAATGAAAAGAAAATTCTTCATTTGGGCTTACACAACAAGAAAAATATATACAGTTGACCCGTGAACAATGGGGGAGTTGAGGGGTGCCGGCCCCCTGCACAGTTGAAAATACATGTATAACTCTTGAGTCCCCAAAACCTGTTAATAGCGTCCTGGTGACTGGAGCCCTACTGATAAACATAAAGTGTCGAGGAAACTACATTTGGTATGTTGTGTGTATTATATACTATAGTCTTTCAATGAAGTAAGCTAGAGAGAAGAAAATGTTATTTAGAAAGTCATAAGGAAATTACATTTACAGGACTGCATTATATCTATCAAGAAGAATTCGCATATAAGTGGACTCACACAGCTCAAACCTGTGTTGTGGAAGAATCAACTACGTATTTATAAAATTGTGTGTGTGTGTGTGTGTGTACATATAGTGTGTGTGTGTACAAAACCAAACTATCCTACCTCAGGATTTTTTACCGTAAGAAAATATATATGTATATGTACATATACATATATAATTATTATATATCTAAAATATAGACAATCTCATTATCATAGTGTATATTATAATCTCATTTGTATATACTGTATATAAAGTCCCATGTAGTGAGAAATCCTGAGGTCAGTTGGTTTTGGCTCTAAGGCTAGCTAATTCAGTAACTCAAGGATTGTTCTTTCTATTTTATTTATTTATTTATTTATTTATTTATTATTTATTATTCATTTATTTATTTATTTTGATAGAGAGAGAGAGTAGGGGAGGGGCAGAGGGAGAGAGAGAGAATCCCAAGCAGGCTCCATGCCCAGCACAGAGCCCAATGCAGGGCTCAATTCCAAGACCCTGAGATCATGACCTGAGCCGAAAACTGAGCTGATGCTCAACTGACTGAGCCACCCAGGTGCTCCCTCAAGGATAGTTCTTTCTGTTGTTAAGTCTTTCCATCATTTGTTCAGCCAATCTCATTAAGCTGGCTTTGTCTTCAGCTGGTGCCCATCCTAGTTGCAAGATAGCTGCCACAATTCCAGGCACCACAGGTACGAGAGCAATGTCCAGTGAATTAAAAGACAATCTCTTCCTGTGTGATTATTTTAAGAGCAAGGAAACCCTTCCTAAAAGTCCCCAAGCAGATTTCCTCCCACTTCCCTTTGACGAGAATCTGTCAAAAACCCCGGCTTGAGTCACTCACTGGCAAGAGAATAAGTAATCAGTTGGTTTACCGTAATAGTCAGGATAGGTTAGGTTATGCTGTGGTAACAACACCACGATCCCCAGTGTCTTCAAGTAACAGAGATCACCTCTTCACTCACTCAAAATGCCTTGCGGTCTGGGTTACTGTCCAGGGCTGCTGCCCAGCCTTCCTCTCTATAGTAACCCATGTCCCCATGGTTGCCACAGTCTGGGAAGGGAGGCAGAAAATCAAATCTTCGTACCAGAAGCAATGGTATACATTGTTCTGTTCACTTTTCATGGGCTAGAGCATTTCCTGTCACATGGAGGCACAGAGGTACAATCTTCTTGTCTGCCTGGAACAAAAATCTGTGAGCAAGAGCAGTAATTGATGTAGAGACTCATTTTTAGGGAGCTATCAAGGCAGGTTAGCATTATTGTTAATGGCCTCCTACTTTGTCCTTCACAAAAGCAACACATCAGAGTTTATCCTGAGAGTGCTAATTGTTGACCTGCAAATAATGCATAAACTACTTTTTTTAAAATTATGTATGTATCTTATACTCATATTATTCCCAAGCTTTCCATGTCTCTGACTTTTCTCCCTTCTCTCTTTCTTTTCCACTAGGGTTCACACCTCCAGGAATGGACAGATCCTCTCCAGATAACAGCCCGGTGCATGGAATGTTACGCCAGCCATCCATCACGACTGGGGTCAACATCCCCATCATTACTGAACTAGGTAGGGGTGAATGTCAGCTTTGGGCAGATTTTGTTGTCCTCTCTTCCAGCCATGTAGGATACGAGGGTAGCCTGTTTCTTAGCTCCTTCAGCATAGAGGGCTCTAGTGGGGGGGGGCGGTGAAGAGAGGTATGGGTAGCAATATGACAGATTACCAAAAGGAAAACTGATCTATCTTTCCTCTGAGATGAATAGACAGTTTCCTTCATGCTGGTCACTGTTCTCAATGGAGTTTGAGATGATGGATTTGAGATTGGGGCATAAATTAGGGAAGGGGGAGGAAAGGAGGAAAGGCATAATCCATGAACTCTTCCTGGTGATTTTCCTTGGAAGCACCTCCAGACAGCTCCTGCAATCAGAGCCCTCCACTGAGGTACAAAGCCTCAGGTCTAAGCCAAACCCATTCTGAGAACTGGGTGGAGGCAGTGGGCATTTAACCTATTCTCGTTGAACTTCTCAGCTAATGCTGCTCTGGCCTAAAATAAGATGGGGTTTGGACGGCCATGATCACAGGCCAGTGGAACCCAACATTTAACCCAGCCATGGCATTCCCTCCTACCATCTGTGAATTTGCAAAGCTGCTGAGTGGTCTCTTTCCCCCAAGACAATACTAACCACCTACGGTGATGGGTCCCCTTACGTTACAATGTGTCCTCTGTTATTCCCTCATGCTCTTCTTTTTCTGTACTTTCCTCCACTCCCTTTCCCCAACCCTTAAATGCTGTATCCAATTAGCTAAACCTGGCAAGTTGCCTTTGGTATCAGTCAATCAGGAAAAAAACAGTGGGACGCACATTCTAATGATAACTGAACTGGGTAAGAAGCACTGTTTTCCTTCACGTCGGTATCTCCTTTTGTTCTGTTGTTGGTGTTTCCAACTATCATCGGCTTGTTTTTTATTTCACGGGCTGTAACAGAGAGACTACCCCATGGCACTGCTTTGAATGTGTTTTATTTGTGGCTCTGGTTGGAATCGACTGTCTTGTTCTGGCCTTTCTTAATGATTTTTTTCCCCCACACAGCATCAGTAAACCTTTGATCACACCCATCTGACCTGGCAGTTGCTTCTAAAGCATCTTTGCTCTAATTCATTTTCCTTGGCCTGGGCCTTTTCCCCCCCTTTCCATGTACCCCCCTGCTCTCCCGCCTTCTCCCTTATATTCCTCTTCCAACACGCTGTCAGTTTGACTGACATGTCTTCACAGCTCTCAGAGAAGTCAAAGGAGAAATATAAAAATTTTAAGATAAGAAACCTAAGATGGAGCCTTCCCTCCAGCTGTTTATTTTCCTTTATTCTGACTTTATTTGCCTTTTTTTTTTTTTTCCCTACGAGACCTTTTCTCAGAAGCTCTGGTTCTGAGGCCATAAAAGCAGCCAGCTCTTAGGGGACCTTTTCTTATGAAAGCCAGATTTCAAGAAGGGTGCCGAGGGTAAGGTTAGCAGCCACTGAGCCACAGGTCTGCGCTCTGACCCCCACCCGGATGGCCCAGAGCCTTCCGGAGATTCAGAGTGGACTCACCAGGAAGATGAAGGGTTCTGGTCATGACTACATTTGTCAGGCCCTTCACACTTCCCCGGGACTTGGTTAATAACTCTGTAAAAGGCACCTATCAGCAGCAGGTCTCAGAACTGGGGATTGATCTTCTAAATAGAGACAGCAAAAGTACTGCTCTGCAGAGGGGTGGATAGAGAGGTGGGGAGCACCTGCCTTCGAATGACTCACAAATGAAACGAACATGCCATTCTCTTGGCCCCAAAATATATTTCAAAATAAGAGAGCAGGCTTTTAACACAGTAATCTTGCTTGTGAGGTGTCTGGAAACTAAGGAATAAATTGTCCACCATTCAGCACTGCATTATTGTAGACGTAGCTATTTATCAGGACAAATTCACTCAGGTCAAGGAGTATCGCACTATTTTCTGTTTTCAACAGTAGGAGAGGTGTCTTTTTCATGTTTAGAGAAGTTGGCTAAAAGCCTAGGTTTCTGGATTGCTCTTCTCAGGACCTTAGGGTTGTAAGAGGCCCAGGAAGCTCATGCAGCCCAGACCGCTGGTTGGAAAATTCATCCAAATATCTCCATCTCAGAAACCTTCAGCAGCATTTCAAAATCATTACTGCCAGGGATTTCTTTTTCTGTTTGGAGTTCGTATGCTACCAACTAACTAGGATATCTCAATTTGTGATTAGGAGAAGAGGAAAGAGAATTGCCCCAAATCTGAGGCAATGAGGCAGACATTCAGTTAGCATAACTGAATTTCCCAAAGCCTTCTTCCCTCACCAGATTTCTTCTGTGAGCTCAGAGAACCTTCCATGTGTTCACATCACCCTTACCTTCTGTGTTAAGCCCTATTTTCCTGGTGGTCTACCACCTTTGGCAAACATACCATCATCGTCTGACCACTTAGCTTCCCCGCACCCCCACAAATATTTACTGTTTACCTGCATGTTCTGAGATGTGTTCTGCATAATGCCAAACCAGTAAAATGCCTTCTGAAAGGCACAAAGGATACCAGGTTCTTTTAAAGCTGTGTAGTATATTCCTGTCTTCATCCACTTGGAGAGTTTCAATTGATGGTAGTAGGTCAAAAGCTTCTAGAAGTTCCACAAGAAGGACATTTGTTTAAGGCTACTTAACCTGATTTCCAGTCATCTATGACCTAAAACATTGGGGGAGGGGTTAAAAAAATCACATGTTAGCACCATATAATTACTGTTCTGTGAAATAGGCTTTGGGTAACACTGTCTGCTCTCCCTGTGAGACTCTCCCAGAACAAGACACAGGATTTTCACAGAACCGTGGTTCCTGCCTTAGCTCTTTCCCAATGACTGAAATGCCTGGCTCACTGACGATCTAGTCATCTCTCCCTACCTGTGGCCACTTGCCCTCCAAGTCCACTACCAGCCCTTCCCCATGGTCTTGAAAAGAGATAACAGACGCTACCCCTTTTGGAGTGTCAATGCACACACCATCCTTGGTTGTTCTAAGTAATTAAAACCATGCTCCTCTGCATTACTGTCCAGAGTTCACGTTTTCTGATTCACAAAGCAGGAAACCAAAACTGTGGCCTCCAATGTGCTTTTGGGTAAATGGAGGGAGGAGAGGAAAAGCTCCCATTTGACGGTGTAGGATCCCTGAGCAAAGCCTTACTTGCTTCTGAGAGAAGCGGAGGGAAGTTGGAAATTTTCATAATGTAGTAGGGTAGACAGAATATTTAATCAGACAGGCAATCCTGAGAGCAGCTAATATTTGTCAAGGTCCTGGGCCAGGCTCACTAAGCACAATCTCCTAGGAGCCTCCTGACAATCTCATGAGAGCTGCTAGTAACTCTCCCATTTTATAGAGAGAGAAAGTAAGGTGCAGAATGATGAAGCTGCAGGCTTATACAGAGTTTGTACAGAGCCTGGATTCAAAGCTTACTTGTCCAATCCTGCATTTTGCACTTTTACCCACTAGCCTGTAATTCAAGTGTTACTGAGCAAAGATGTTCCTCCATTTAAGTTTTTCTCTAGGGAAACAAGATGGTGTCATTTAAAACTAATTCCATGCCTAGCTTTTTATCCTATTATTTATTCTGCCTTACACAATAAACAAGCAAAAGTTGAAAGAAAAAGTTATCCAGAATGTTACGCTTAGGAAAAAAAAATTAAAACAATAACTCTAGGAAAGAGAATTCATTACCGATACATTTAGAAAGGAATCAGAAAAAGGAAACCTCATCTATTCTTTTCCTAAAAGCACCATAATTATTCCAGAAATCACGAGCGCTCATCTCCTCCCCCACCACACACTTTCTTCCCTATTACTTGCTCTGCAAAACTGATAATTTCTGAAGCCAAGATGGGAATGGAAATTAATTTGTCATTTAATTTTTAATAAGTTAAAGACATCTCAGTGACACAGCCAATCAGTCTGCACCTGCCTGCTGGAGGAGTCCTTGAGGAATCCTCAGATGGAAATGAACTACAGCATCTCATGGAGCTGCAGCACATAAAAGATTGAGCTGTGTAGAAGGGGAAAGGGAGAACGTGGGCGTCCCCATGCAACTCGGAATGCACAGCAAGTACTTGTCAGCAAGCAGCCGGAGACAGCCAGGGATCCATCCCACCTGGGGTCACTGTTCTATCAAACAGGGCCTGTCGGGGTGGTCCTGGATTCAGGGCTAGGGACACCAGACCCTACCCGGGCTGACCCCAGGAAGGATGTAGGTCCTGCCTACAGGTGAATTCCTTGCTATGCGCCTTTGCTGTGCTCCTAGTCTCCTGCTCTCCGGTCTTGATAAGTTGCTTTCTTTCCCTGTGGCTAAACTTAGCATCCCAGCATGGCTACTCATGGCTACTCATCCTTGAAATATGTCCATCTCTCAAAGGACTTGGCAACCAAAAAATACCCTGAAGTGTTTTTTGGTCATGATTCTAAAACTATACCAAAGGACTGACCAGCACTGTCCAGCCATTCTCTAGTGGTCTGCCATGGAGCAAGGCTGCTTGAACTCATTGCTCTCCAGGCCTGGGAAGCTTGAACAATCACATAAGAGCAGTCCATTGAGTCCACTGGCTCCCACCCCAAGATTCATCTACAGCTTCTCCCATGCTTTTCTCTCCTTTTCAGTGACTTCAGTGTTGCTAAATCAGTAACGTGCTCTTTCTCTGGCTTCACTGTGTGTGTGTGGTCTTTTGAGCTAATTCTCATTTTATACTTTTTCTAGTGAATGATACTAACGTTCAGTTTTTGGACCAAGACGATGATGATGACCCCGACACAGAACTGTACCTCACGCAGCCATTTGCATGTGGGACAGCATTTGCAGTTAGTGTCCTGGACTCGCTCATGAGTGCGGTGAGTGGGTGCGGGATATGGGAGTAGGGCACCTCCGACCTCCAACATCAGTGGCGCAGGACTGGAGCTGGGGACAGCATGACCACACAAAGCTTGCAATCTAGAAGGGGATACCAAACTGTTGTACAAATAAATGTTTGATTATGAATTCTTGAAAGTGTGGGGAAGATCAGGAAGAGGGGAGATTTTTGTGGGGAAGAATATCCCCCTCAAAGAAGGAAAGCAAATGCAAAGGCCTGGTGGTGAAGGAAACTGGCAATTTAAGGAGGCCAAAGAAAGCCTTTGTAGCTGGGCCACAGTGAGAAAGGAAGAGGAGCATATGAGGCAAGGTTGGACCTATAAGACCAAGAAACCCATTGTCATGGCTTTGGTTTTTTTCTTAAGGTCAATGAGGAGGCATTGAAGGATGGTTTTAAGCTGGCAAGTCGTGTGATCCGGTTTATGTTTTAAGAGGATTGTCTTGGCTGGTGTGTGGCGGATGGCTCAGGAGGCAAGATGGCGGCAGGAAATCTGAATATGGGGCTATCAAAGTTTGGCTAAGGATAGAGCTGGCAGGGCTAGAGGGAGATGGGTGCGTCTGGGTGGTGTTGGTCAGGAAGATTGATAGGGCTTGGGGATAGATTGAATATGAGCAGAATATGGAAGAGGACAAAGTGTCAAGGGTGACTCCTAGGTCACTGCTCGTCACTGAAATGTAAGGCCTGGGAGAGGACCATGCATGAGCGTCAGGCGTGGCCAGTTTTCTGCTGCTGGGCAGGAATGAAGTAGCAAAGAGAGGAGGGTGGGCTGTCTGAGGAGTCAAAAGCATCATTGGTTTCTTTTATGACTTGGTATGCACCAAACAATCAAGGCATTGTTTTTTCACTTTGGAGACCAAAAACAAGTAACATTAAAAAGTAGGCCCCCAGTTCATGGAGCTCTCTTGAATTGTGAAAGGCAAAAGCAGACACTAGAATGGGTTACAAGAGGGGATTGTGAAGTGTTCCCACTGAGTGTCTTTATTTATTATAGAGAAAAGCCTCTTTATTTTGGAATTCTCAAATTCACAATTTATGAAAATACAGACATAAGCTGGATAAAAACTGACCTTTGAGGAATCCATGAAAAGGAGTTTTATTGAACACATTAAAACCATAAACATAGCTCTGAGAGTTTTTATACACGTACATTTCTTAAAGTGCTTAAGAAGGCTATTCTCCTGAATGTGTTAAACAACTGATATGCTAATTATGCATTATTCTTCACTATTCATTAAAGCTAATCCCAGAAGAACCTCTATTTGAGGAAAGAAAAAACATAAAGCTTTTTTTTTTTTTAAAGATTTTTATTTATTTATTTGAGAGAGAGAGAATGAGATAGAGAGAGAGCATGAGAGGGGAGAGGGTCAGAGGGAGAAGCAGACTCCCCGCCGAGCAGGGAGCCTGACGTGGGACTTGATCCCAGGACTCCAGGATCATGATCTGAGCCGAAGGCAGTCGCTTAACCAACTGAGCCACCCAGGCGCCCCAACATAAAGCTTTTTAAGACTAATTTAGGTTATTCTATATTCCTGAATGTGGTCCAACTGCAAGCATATCTTATTTTAAAAAAATTAGAATTATAGATTTAAAAATAATTATGAAGCAATATTCATCTGAATTAAGGTTGACTAGGCATCATGCCAGACCTTTGCTTTCCAAAGCCAAGAAGGAGAGAAAAAGGTCACTAGAGAAGGCACTCTCGGTTTCCAAGGACTTGTGATTTCTTTCTGATGGCCTGATGGTTCTGGGCCTAACCTCTCTACCTGCTAGTGATGTTGGGCTCAGTTTGTTCAAACTCCTTAAGCAAGCCAGAAGGAATGATGAAAGCTACGGGATGTGCTCATACAGTGCCAAATTGTCTGTACTGGTCTTCAGTTTCCAATGGATTTCTGTAATTCATCTCTTTAGAAATTTCATTTTACTTCTGATCCTAATTAGAGAGATTACGGAAAACTGGTCTCACTAAAAGATGGTTAAACTGGGTACAGTAGCTTTTCTTTTCAAGAACCCCAAAATACTCTATTAACATTTTATAAAATCCAAACTTACACAGTTATTTATGTTTCTACATATCAGACATGCAGGATATTCCAGGCAGCTATATAATTAGCAAGGCCACTTTTTCATACGTTATTAAGAACTTCAAAATGATGACTGCAGAGCTTTAAGCCAAGTGAGGGGCCCTTCTGAGCATGGACCATGGGTGACCGCACAGGCCACATGCCCGTGAAGCCAGCCCCTCATACCAATAAGCCCATAAAATGGATTTTAAGCAGCAAAGAACTTCACCCCTACACAACCGAAGGGGCACTGGGTGGCCATGGGGTGGGAGTAGGGGGCCCCTCTGGATCTGAGCTGCACCTCTGTCCGTCTATAGCACCACCCAGTGAGTCAGTTCTTGGAAACTCAGATGAGAAATCAAAGTGGGTTGGTTTGAAATTTTTAAGAAGCCATCTCTAATCCCCTTTGAAATGCAAACTGAAGTGTCTTCGAGAGAGGAGCTAAGACACGTATGGATGCGTATGGATGCGACCGGTCTGCTGAAGCATTCCTTCTGAATTCCAACTTGGGAAAGAAGAGTATCAGGAATCTAGTAACAGTCATTGTAATCACCATTGGCTTCATTTATTGAGGGCCCAGAACTGTGCAAGGCACTTCAGCCACAGTGTCTGATCTTTTGGACAATAATGTGAATAAACCTGAAGCAAGATGTATTTTTTTTTAAAGATTTTATTTATTTATTTGAGAGACAGAGAATGAGAAATAGAGAGCACAAGAGGGAAGAGGGTCAGAGGGAGAAGCAGACTCCCTGCTGAGCAGGGAGCCCGATGTGGGACTTGATCCTGGGACTCCAGGATCATGACCTGAGCCGAAGGCAGTTGCTTAACCAACTGAGCCACCCAGGCGCCCATGAGATGTATTTAACTGATGCACTGACAGTGACTTTTCAGATCATTAGTCAAAACGCCTATCCGATGGTTCCAGGCCTGGTTTTCCTTGTCTGGGATGAAGAAGTTCCACGGTGACGTCTTGCATTGGGTCTGGCTCAGCAGACCCAGTTGAATCGGGCCTTCTGACAAAAATGTTACCTATGATTTCTTTGCATTCCACCCCAACCCTAATTTATGAAAAACCAGGAGATTAGTCAGGAACCAAGGCAGTAACTAGAAGGAATTGAAAAGGTTGGCAGGAATGTAAATTGAGAAATTGAGACTCCAAGCTGCGGGAACCAGAGGTAAGCTTCCATCCCAGGCATTCGCTTACAAGCAACACCGTGATGTTCGCACACACTCACCTCCTCAGATGTCCATGATCTCCTTTTTCTAGCCCCCAAATTGCCACTTAATCGTGTGTCTAAACATCCCCTGAATATTGTCCTTCATAACTCAACTCCTGCTGCTTACTGCCTCATTTGTTAAAAGAATAATGTTTTGATTTGTCACAAGCATCCCTGAACAGATAGGGATGTTGCAGACATGGCCTCGTGGCTTTCTCCTGCTAATCAACAGCAGAAACACATGATCAGAAGGAATAATTATGCTTGTGGGAATGTGCCTCTAGGAAGAGGCTCACAAATAGGCTATGCATTTTTCAGAGTGGTACCAGCTTGCTGCTCACACACACATGGAAAAGATGAAAGGAAGCGTCTCTGTATTTAGAGCTGAAACTGGCACTCAAGTGTTCAGACTTCTTTTCCACAGACAGCCCTTGCCCCACCCACAGCCCCAATTTGAGTTCTACCTGGCCCCTCCCTAGGCAGAAAAGTCATGAACCAAGAGCCAGACTGCCCGGATGCAGATCCCAGCACCAGCATTTACTGGCGGTGTAAACTTAATCTCTCTGTGCCTCAGTTTTATCATCTTTAAAATTGGGATAATAATAGCACTTACCTCATAGAATTGTCGAGATAAATAAGTGAGTTAAGGCTGTAAAGTGGTTAGTGCAGCACTTCACACATGACAAGCTCAATCTTGTATTTATTATTATTGATCATTGCCTTCACTGAGCACTTAACTAAATGCCAGGCACTATCTGGATGCTGGGGATTTAGCAGTGGAGAAGAAAGAGGAAGACCCTGCCCTCATGTTGTTGGAACTTTCATTCTAGTGGGCAATAATTATGTAAATGATTACATAAATCAGTAATGATAGCTATCATCGGTAGTAGTAAATGAATAAAATCAAATGGACCAAACTGATTTGAAGAACATAAAATCGTTTGAATGGGTGTGGAGACCTGTGTTAGCCACAATGGTCAGAGTAAAGTTGTCTCAGCTGAAAACTTGGAAGCTGACACTGAAAAGTCAGAAGAGAGCACGTGGGGGCGAGGGGGGCGAGGTTTCCAAGGCAGGAGAAAGATTGGGGGGGCAAAGCTGAACAGTGGTGCTGAGCAGACTTTGGGGGGTCTGAGGGAGTTGTTGAAGGCTGTCATGCTTGGAACGTAGTAGACACAGGGGAGGGACATGCAAGAAGCAGTCAGACAGGCAAAGCTGTTGTCCACACTGTGAGTATTGAGTACAAAAGACCACGTCCCATCAAGTCCTAAGTCAGGGTTAAACACTTCACCCATCTTCCTTTGGATCCCACCAGGATCCTCCTGAGGTCACTGCTTCCTGTGTGTGCTGGCTGGAGGGGCACACCCATCACCGAGTTGACTCCTGAAGTAACCCCCGATTATTTTTCTGTCCCGCACTCCATCCTAGTGCACTCATTTTAAGAGAAGAAGGGAAGAGAAACAGCACAATGTATTGGCATGAGGACCTGGATTGATCTCTGGCTTCTAATGAATCGTCTCTCATAGAAGTCTCAAAATGGCACATTGCAGGCAACACCCATCCCACAGACAAGTTCTGCATCTCCCAAAGTTTTTCATTTTTAAATGGAATTTGTTGCCAATATTTTAAAATCATACATAAAATATGGGTTTCCGGCTTATTTTGATTGGAGTCACAAAGCAGATTCCCAGATACCCACAAAGCAC